CAACGAACACGTTCGCCGGGAGCCCAACGCCGAAATTCTCCCCACAACGACGAAGGCCTGCCGGACATAACTACAACCTGCGCACCTCATCAGTGCCATCCCCGCACCCAAAAGAAGATTGACTTCTGAAATGTAAGTCCAGCTCATCACTTCCCAGTTGCAGTGCCACTTTCCTAAACGAATTAGACATGAAATGCATAAATCAACATTGCAAGTGTACCTTCGTGCTAGAATAGCCCCCAAGGGTATGACACTCTCCCTCACACCAGCCGCTACAAATCTAGATAAACACGACCAAATAACATGGAAAAACGTCCTCCTTGAGGCATCTCTTAAATAACAGAAATTGCTCTTAATCATAGTGACAAGCAGGTAAAGAAACTGGTCGCTATGACCAACACCATTCTCCGCCACACCACTTTATCGAACGAAGAAATCACGCGATTAACAGAATTTGAGCAGAATAAATACCAAGCCATCAGGACCACAAAAATTCATAAACTCGAAAGAGACCATGTGCCCAAACCCGCGTTCCCTGATACAGTGCCTTATCATTACAACACCGCCACCCAGGAAAACACTAATGGTACAAACGAGCACCCATCTAGGAACACACCGTGTGACACTGTGGTTGTAAACTTATCGGACACGAGCTTGTCACCTGACGAAGTAAAACTGCTATCTAAGGGACTAAGCTTCTGCCCGACCACAAAATTTTTCGATGAATTCCACTTACTCCGAGACCTCGACAACTTCGCTCGAAGCTTAAGGTGGCGCGAATATTTCTTGGATAGGCCTTCTAACCACGAAACAATTCACCGCCGTAAATCAAATGATTGGACGCCGAACAGTAATCGAGACAAGTGCTTGGACCTTTATATCACCGCAGTACAGAAAGATATAGTACACGAATACCACAGACAGAAAGGAAACCGAGAAAACTTGACCAAATCTGAAAAAATAAGTATGAAAAATTTGGCATCTAGGACAGACATAACAATAAAACCCGCTGACAAAGGAGGAGCAATTGTAGTCCTTAATACAACCGACTACCTACAAGAAGCATACCGCCAACTAGACGACTCAAGATTTTACGAACGCCTCCCAGGTGATCCGACAGACGAATACAAACGTGTCGTATCAACAGAACTAAAGAAACTGTTGGACGCAGAAAAGATAACCAACACTGACCACAAACTGATGCAAGCAGCATACCCTCGTCCAGGTCGCTTCTACATCCTCCCAAAAATTCATAAACCCGGTAACCCAGGTCGACCAATCATATCAGGCATCGGTACAATAACTGAACCCATATCAGGGTACGTGGACAAACTAATAAGCCACATTCCATGCACCCTCGCGTCGTACATAAAAGACACCACACATTTTCTTCGAGACATTGCGGGTATCTGTGTGCCGGAAAACTCGTATTTGGTTACTCTTGATGTCTCTTCATTATATACAAATATTCCTCACGATGACGGCATAGCTGCATTACAAAACATGTACACAAACCATAGACAATCTAACACCCCAGATTTCTCTGCCATTGCAACATTGACGTGGATGGTCCTCGAATTAAATTCATTCGAGTTTAACCAAGAGTATTTTCGACAAATCAGCGGGACCGCTATGGGCACCAAAATGGCACCTAATTATGCCAACATATTTATGGGAAAGCTAGAATCTGAATTTCTTGCACAAAGTTCCTTGAAACCAATGTTATACAGAAGATACATAGACGACATCTTTCTTATTTGGACCCACAGCGAGGACGAACTTCTCAGCTTTATAGACACTTACAATGCTGTACATCCGAACATACACTTCACACACACATACTCGCAAGTTACCGTAAATTTTCTTGATGTTACCATAACGATAGAAGAAGAGAAGCTCTCTACAACCCTATATCGCAAGCCAACGGATCGACAACAATACCTTCATTACCAAAGCGATCACCCACGCCACTGTAAAAACAGTATTCCATACAGCCAGGCTCACCGGTTTAAGCGAATCTGCTCTAGAGACGCTGACTTTGACACGAGCTCACAGAGGCTAAAACTTATGCTCGAGCAACAAAAATACCCCCCACATGTAATTAATGACGCTGTTCAAAAAGCGAAAAAACTAAAGCGTGAAGACTTACTTATGAAGCGACCACCACGAGAAGACCCACAACGAACAAACCTCTGCTTGACTTACAGCAGAAACTTCCCCAATGTAAACAAAATCCTTAAACAACATTACAACATTCTGGAACAAAGTGAACGTCTGAAACGCGCATTCCCATCTGCTCCAGGCGTCGTTTACCGACGACCACGTAACCTCAAAGACACCCTTGTCCACTCCAAAATTAACACATCACCACCCAATAATTCATGCCGCCCTTGCTTAAAGCCACGATGTCTTGTATGTAAGGCGATGCGAGAAACAGACAAAGCAACCAGCACGCAATCCAAGTTTTCGATTAACATACGAGGAAACCTAACATGCGATTCCTCTAATGTGGTGTACCTACTCGAATGCAACGTGTGTGGTATGCAGTACATCGGACAAACAGAAACACCATTTAGGATTCGCTTCAATAATCACAGAGCCCATGCGAAATCAGCCCCAAGTCTACCTCTATCAAAACATCTCAATCTTCCCGACCATGCATTCGACAAACTATCAGTAACGCTCTTAGAGACGGGATTTAAATCAAATCGAGAACGTGAACAACGAGAGTCATACCTTATCCACCGATTTAACACCCTCGATAGAGGAATAAATGAGAATCCTGGTACACTTGCAGCAATTAAAGCATTAGAAAACAATAACGGCAACAATGAAAATGGTAACTGAGTTCACGGCACTGCAGCTGCGAAGGGCACTGGACAACCTAAAACAATTCCAAGTGTAACTACTCTTCCTAAGTGCAGCTGTCGTCTGTTTTGTTTTATTTTACTACCCAATCAATTGTGCCATGCACGACATGCCCAGCAGCAACCATGTGCACAGCCAGGAGGCCCCCACGACACGCGTAATTTAGAAGCGGGCCAGGAATTCGCATTGCACGCGCTTGCACAGCCTACCGCAATACGGGGCACCCCTATTTTTACGACGAAATGTTGACAGGGCGCGGAGTAGTTAAAGGCTTAGAACTTCCTAAAATGCCCGCTGACCAGCCTCTGCCACAATACGCGGCCCCCGTCCTTCTACGACGAATTGTTTACGGGACCCCGAGTAGTTAAAGGCTTAGGACTTCCTGAAAAGCTCTTTTTTGCCCCACACCGAACCGCCAGTGCCAGGAAGGGCCGTCTGATCGGGAGGAATGCGCTAGTGAACGGAAACATACACAGACCGCTGACTTCAGAAAGGGGAGAGGGGGGGAGAGATGGGGGGGAAGTGGAGGGAAAAGTGGAAGGGGGGCACCCGAGGGGGTCCACCGTATACTATTTTTCTCTTTTTCTTTTTTTTCTTTCCTTTTCTTTTCTTTTTTTCTTTCCTTTTTTTTTCCTCTTTCCTTGCCCTCTGATTTGAGATTGTATAAAGCTGAGCACCGACATACTGTATCTTTATTCCTGATGAAGGCCAGACTCTAGGCCAAAACGTCGAAATAAACCACGTTGTGACCGCTCACGGAAGATCTACTAGACTCTACTAGACTATATATATATATATATATATATATATATATATATATATATATATATATATATATATATATATATATATATATATATATATATATATATATATAGGTATGGGATATGGCACAACGGGAACGTTGTCAACAAAGTTAAATATATTTATTTCCTTGAAGAAGAATGGCGATTTGGGCTAGTTGGTTTGAGTTCATGATAATACGGGTTGCAGCGCGAGCCCGAATGTGCAAGAAAAAACAGACGAAAGTCGAGGTATGGAAGGCAAAGAGGTATGGAAGGCAGCGCTCGTGTTGTCCTCTTTGCCTTCCATACCTCGACTTTCGTCTGTTTTTTCTAGCACATTCGTGCTCGCGCTGCAACCCGTATTATATTTATTTCGCAACGGGAGGGGTCCCGAAACTGTTGTTCTCCCTTCATCAAGGGATGAGTTAACTCATCCCCTGATGAAGGGAGAACCCCTCCCGAAACTGTTGGGAAATAAATATATTTATCCTTGTTGACAACGCTCCCGTTGTGCCGTATCCCATACCTTCACGAAGACTAACTGGCATATTGAATTATTACTCCCATATATAAATATATATATATATATATATATATATATATATATATATATATATATATATATATATATATATATATATATGCATATATTCAGAAGCGGTCTAGAGTCATTTGACTCCAAGCTGAGTGAACACAAGGAATCAAAGAACCCATCAACAATAAATTATACAACTGTAAACAAGAAACGAACCTATAGAACAGTGCAATTCAGATACAATTTAAGGACACAATTACCCAAGCATTTTCCTCAATTTCATGACGAACACTTCCACATTAGGGCTATTGAAAACTTTGTTGGGTAGTTCTTACACAATTCACAGTAATGCGTATCAAAGCCATCAGCCAATCTTTTGAACACAACATTTAGAGTTTGTATCAACTTCGACACGGAGGTCAGAAGATACTTGCGGCTAGCAATAAGGGCAACAGAACCTCGAACGGACGAGAGATACGCAACGGGACGAGCTTACCCGTTGGTCATGTCTGCTTGGACACCTTTTCATTTATTGAACGAACTAGCCCGAAAAGCCACGTTGAATAACGGGACGCCCGCGCCGCCCTCATGAAATATTTATTGGAACTTAGGGATCATTTTTGGAAATAGGATTTCTAGTTTCGCACTCTTTAAAAACTTTCTAATAACATGAAAATTTCAGAGTAAAACACGCCTATTTGATCTCTCATGACCCCCCCCCCCCCCATAAGGTGGGAAATGTCTACCGTAGCGTTAAACTCGTTATCGAAAAATCCCAGTTGCGTGACAGCCCTATTTAGTCTTATACGTACCTAGAGAAGTTTGTTTGTTCAATTTCATGATGAGCTTGGTACGAATCACTTCGCAAGCAAGCGGAGTGAGCTTCGTCGCTGAGACGAGGCTGATCAGGTGTGAACGCAGTGCCGTGACATGCTTCATTTCGGTAGTCTCAGGAATGTACGCCTTCAACACCTGTAAACATAAGCGAAAAGAGAGACCGTCAGCTTGGCTTTCTTTCTGTGCTACGCTTCTACCAATTGTACAATGCGCTCAATCGTGTATTTGATGTTATTAGTTCTTCGTTGAATGATGAATAGTTTCACCATTTACAGATGTTAATTTTTTCCATATACAAAGTACTTTGTACATTGCAGCAGTTCCCGTTTCTCGTGTTCGTTTTGCTCAACGCTATGCCGACAGAACCAGCAGTGTCTCCAATACACCAGGACCAAAAGCAGTGTTTTCCACATCAGCGCGTGTCAGGAACACATCTTAGACATGCAAATATAAAATATAATGAAATGGCAGCCCTGTGCACGGAATAATACATTTCAAATGTCTTCGGAGGAGTCGGCAGGGACCTTCCATAAAAATTCGCTTCGTGAAGCGCCACGGTGAGTTCAGCTATTTCTAAAGTACGCTGCCGAATACGGCAAGGTATGAATACGTCATTGCGTAAACTTCAGCATTAAGCAATCAATTCCGGTCAGTCGATGGAAAAAATAATAATTATCCTTCTATGTCATGGGTTCTCAAACTAAGTTCTAAGAAATCCATGGCTCCTTGATCGACATCCACGAACGGTGGCAATGAGTGCAACACGCTCCCGTTTTACCACAATTAGCAGCTATAGTTTACATTCACAGGCTCATCATTTTATTTTGCACTTGGCGAAACCATCCCACGGCGCATCCGCACATCGGGTGTCTGCGGGTAGCGAGAGACACCGTGGCAGATTAAGATGAGGGGAAATAAAACGATCGCCCCCTCCTTTCCCCAAAAGCAGTTTGAAACCTGCACCAGAAGGACATACTCCATTACAGTGGTGGGCGAGTTGGAACTGATAAATTCTTGTAAACTTGCTACAAGAACGAGATGGAGCACAAACAAGAGGACATAAAACAGCGTTAACAATTAAAGTTTATTGAAGGAATTTCGAACCACCTTTCAAACCAACAACGTATGCGCAGAAATTACCTACAAGAGCTGATGCAACATGCTTAGCTCGGAATCTAAACGGCAAACAGACGGCTCAGATACGTCATCTTCGCCCACATCTTGAGTGCACGAAGTACGCTTCCCCGGGTTCCCGTGTCGTTGTATCTCATTGTCTGTGTATGACGACAATGTTATCGAAGAACGGACGAGCAAAAGCTAGAATCTAACACGCGACAGTATACTATACTACTACTACCAATCGTAGTCCTAATAGTAGATAGATATGTGGTGTTTAACGTCCCAAAACCACCATATGATTATGAGAGACGCCGTAGTGGAGGGCTCCGGAAATTTCGACCACCTGGGGTTCTTTAATGTGCACCCAAATGGGAGCACAAGGGCCTACAACATTTCCGCCTCCATCGGAAATGCAGCCGCCGCAGCCGGGATTCGAACCCGCGACCTGCGGGTCAGCAGCCGAGTACTTTAGCCAATAGACCCCCACGGCGGGGTCAGTCCTAATAGTAGTAGGATTAATAGTAATAATGATATTATTACAAAATAAATTGAATAATTTAGGTGGTGTGAGGCCTGATGGTCATATCAATAATTTATTGAAGCACAACAGGTGATGAGCCCCTCTAAATTTGCCTTTAAATCTGAGCATTCGATATACAATGCCCATTTAGCCCTTCCGAGTGGAGTTTACATTGCCTGGTATAAAAAATAGCACGCAGCCTATTTACCTTAGACATATGTAAAGCATGTGCTAGTGTGAAACATCCCGTTTTGAAAGAGCGGTTACGGTATCACGGATTCCTTACCTATATTAGACAGTTATATTATACCGGGCTTACTAAGATACCGGGTGTACCGTGATAGCGCGATCACAGTTGGCAAGCAAAAGTTAGCCGAGATGGGAGTTTCTTAAGCACATGAGCCAAAAAAAAATCCCCTGCCCCAATTATTTACTTCCTGGTAGAGAGTGAACTCGGCACATGTCGTAAAACGCCCCTTGCTTAATGACAGAGTTTATGAACCACATGACCTTGTTAAACTTCCCAGGGAGTTTCAGGTCACGCGGTTTAAAACTCATATGGGAGCTTTGAAAGCCATCTTTGGGCGTGGAGTGCGTGTGTCTGCGAGTGTGTGTGTGCGTGTGTATGTACGGGCATATGTTTGCACGTCGGTGTGAAACACAGTTGCTTTGTGTGGCTAACCGTGTGAGCATCTCTCAACAGGCAACGAAATTATAAATGCAGCGAAGAATTGCAATGATCGGTTCGTATTTACTGTGAACATCTCAATATATTTCGCACCGTTAAACCACGCTGCACAACGGTCCGATTCCTCAACGAAACGCCGTGAATGCCACCCTTGAAAGTGCCGAGTAACAAAAAGTTTCGAAGAATAACTAGAGTATAAAGTTGGGCATGTTGGTAAGACATACTTATTCGACGTAGCGCGTTTTGAAACATAGGACAAGGGAAGGGACAGAAGGGAGCGCTTACTTCCAACAAAATTTTATTTGAAGGAGCGTACATATATATATGCTCATGAAATTCGAAAACAACAAACAGATGAAAAACCCTCTATTGCCATGCGCTAAAAACTTATGATCTCAAAAACGACAATTCTTTTTCACAAAGACCGAGAGAAGGATTGCTGACGCAGTTCAGCCCTAATCCACTAATCCTTTTTGCTTCAATAATCTCCCTTGTCACTTTATTTCTGTTTTTTCCTATGATTACCGTACCATAAAAAAGTGGTTTGCAGCCACACGTGCTGCAATGTAGTGCCAAAAAACCATCTCGACCATTTTTTACGTTCAAAGCGTGTTCGCGGAGCTGGTCATTAATACACCTGCCAGTTTGTCCTATGTAGTGTTTACCGCATGAAAGAAGTATCTGATAGATTAGAAATTGCGCGCATGTGACAAACAGTGTTAAGTGCTTTTTAGAGCATCCTGGTTTTGCATGTGAAACAACTTTCATACACAAGTACGGGAGCTTTTTCGGGGCAGAAAACACCACCTTTACATTGGCCTGTTCTCCAACCTTTTTCAAGTTGTGGGAGATTCTATGCAGATAAGGCACTACGGCAAGCTTCTGACGTCTTACTGGCTCAACATGAGGGAGAGCTTGTGGCAAGGACTGAAGCTTCTCGACCAGAATTCTCGCGACAGAAACATGTACGTGAGAGGGGTAGCCAGCGTCCAGAAGTCAATAAAATTTTGTTGGAAGTAAGCGCTCCCTTCTGTCCCTTCCCATGTCCTATGTTTCAAAACGCGCTACGTCGATTAAGTATTTTGAAAAATAAATGATGGTAGCAAAAGTAAGCTGTTACGATCGTCAGCGGCTGCTCCTGGAGTTTCGCCGTCAAAAACTTCGAAGCAGTCTCAAGTAGGCTTCGCTCGCCTACGGCGATTGCACCGTAAAACTTCAAAGTGGTTCGAAGTAGGCTTCGCTCAACCACGGCAGGCTGGCTGGCAACCGTGTGAGAGTTGCGCCGGCGACGCGCTCGCCCCGTCTCCGCCGATGGTGAGTTTTCGAATTGTCACCGGTATTTCACCGGCACCAACAGATGGTCTCGCTATGCCGTCGGTATCAAGCCTGCATTGTATCGAGCTCGCACATCACACCGGCCGCCGTGGCGAGCTGTACGAGCTAGCTAGCACTGACTACCGGCGAGCAATGAATGTGTTTTACACAAAATAAAGGCTGCTGGGTTGAATAACTGACTTCGGCGCCTTGTGGCCGCAGCTGTCAAAAGACTGACTCGAAGGCGAGTGCCGAACGAGGCGGAGACACAGAAACAGCGTACGGCATGCATGCTTGCCCATGCAATGCATGCGAGCAACGGCAACAGCGACTGCTAACCGTCTCGTTCGTTTAAGTCTATCGCTCTGTAGCTGAAACTGCGTCGATAGCGGACACCTATTTCTGTGCATGGTAAAAATAACGCGACGTAAACCGCACATCAGCAAGGATTTTGTGATCGCCAGCTGTCATTCATCGAATTACTGTGCCTTACTCGTAAGTGAGGCCTAGTCGTCGAACGCGGTAGCGGCGGTCTACCTCGGTTCATCGGTGGAGCTGCTGAAAATGGGCCTCGTTAATGTGTTCATTCAAGGCCGCGCCGGCTTTGTGTATGATTCGGTGCTTTTCGCGGATAAGCAAACAGTATTTCTAATGCAAATTCAGCCCGTACGACATAGCTTCCACTGATAAAACTTTTTCGCTATAGTTAAAAAAATAATGAATATTAGGCAGGATTAAGGTAAAAGGCTTGTGTGTTGAAGTGCTTAAATTGGGCCACCGCAACTTCATATGTACGGCGTGCGTGTTTATTGCTTAATTATTAGCAAGAAAAGGGTTTTCCAGGGCTACATGGGAGATCAGAATGTGGTGCCCATATATACCCGGTGACTGGATGGTAGGTGTGCACTGCGGGTGGCAAGCTGTGGTCAGTGTGAGTGTTGTAATAATACGTGAACGTTGTGAACATGTTTGTGCACGGCATTAATTCTTGTGTGCTTCGAAAGTAGTAATGCAAATAATGGTACGCTTGCGCATGGTATGGCTGATGACGCCATTTTTTTCTTGATCGATGGAAAAAATTTAAGCCCCTACTGACCTTAAAAAGTTCTCCGATAGTTGTATATAACCCCCCCCCCCCCTGGCACCATAGAAAAACCCCCTCCTGATGGGGAGTAAATTTTTTACTCTCTCCGGACGGTGTTTATAAAACTCCTTTCGGGGCGTGCGCTGGAGGACAAGGTCATTTACTCCCATATCAGCTTATTTCTGTTTACAGTGCAGGTGCGTACGTTACCCGCCCCACTTAGCGTACGCACGCTATTTTTCAGATTTAACATTACCGTGTTAGCGTAGGTGTACGTAGTGTACGTAAAACATGTCGGCGCTCTGGGATGCCCGCTTCGAAATGATTTTGGCGTAGTTGTTAAAAGATTCACTTCGTTCGCACCAAACGACTGTTTGGGGTGGCTTCGCTTGCGTTCAGTTAGCTTGGAT